TCACATTCCACTGAACATCCAATGCTTGCCTGGACCATTATTACTTGCAGCCGCAGGTTCCCTCATGTGGAGATAGCTCCCCACCTGTAATTAACTCTCCTGTCAGCTTCATTTTTGCATATATTAACGATCTTCAGCCTAGATCAGCTAATTAGCAAGGGAGCAACAAGCCACCAAGCTGCCCTCTATCCAGCAAGGATGTTACGCTTAATTAACTCATTTGCCAGAGAGGCCCTTGCTTACCAGCCGAATGCGCAATGTGAACATTCGGATGATGGAATTTTAACAGGGACTGTCGAGTTTTCCCATCAAAAGACTATTATTAGCAGATTTACATTCTCAGCTAAATTTTCTGGCAAAGGAAAGAAAGGAAAAGGAGGAACAATGGAATCCCACTGCCTGCCACTATCACAATCTGAATACACAAACCAGGTATTTAGATGAATAATACATTTGCCTTTATGAATGGTAGACAGTATTTCTATTTTAAGAAGCCTGCATTTGCTTTGTAGCCTCTGCATGTTTATACCGAACCATTCTACAAACCAGGGACTGAATTCTCCCATCAGGGTCCAGTATGCATAGGGACCTACTGAAATCATGATTTAACGGATTTCAGAAAATCCAGCATTGCCCGCAAAAGTGAAATCCATGAGAAAAAATGCAAAGCAAAACAAAAACTAACAGAAAATAAAAAGCTGGCTCCCCAGGGTGCTACAGCAGCTGGCCTGATCAGGGAAAGGGGAGGGAAGGCTGCCTGTTCGAAGGCCTGCTGGCAAGATAGGTGCCACCCTCACCCCTCGCTGCTGATTGGCTGTGAGGGCTGCTTCTCATGTGGCCCCGCCCTTCTCGGATGTTGGACAGCCCTTGCAGCCAATCAGCAGTGCAGAATAGGGCTACCAGACGCCCTCAGCCAGAGTGGGGGGGCGCAAATGTGGTCCACCTGCAAAATGGCTGCCAGGCTTCACATTCTGCCCACAAAGTCAGGGGGCAGCCTCCTCAAACTCCGTAGGTCCCTACTTATACATATAAATGACCTCTTTCTCCACAAAGAGTGATTCTTGTCCCAAATTCTGCACCCTTCCTTTGCCCCTCACACACTGGAGACTCTGGATCACTCGCTGCTACTTCGACAGCTGCTTAGCTCCATACAGCCTAGTACTGCTTGAAGAACTGGCAGATAGGGTGCTCTCTTTCTGCCTTCTTAAACAACTTATGAATTTAGACATGTGCCACCTTTTCTGGTTAACATAATTGCCAATTATGGAATGGCAAGAAATGTCATCAGGAAATCAAACACAGATTGTAATTATAAAAAACCTGGAACTAATTGGCATAAGCTGTAGGATCCTGTTAGTGCTGTTGATTAACACTTCGTGAAAACCTTGGTGACCAATATTTAGTTTCCCGCTTAGTCAAGTGCATTTGAAAAACACTAACCATTTATTGAAGCCTAAGGGCTCCTGATTACAAAAAGAGATTATTTTGCCTAACATGGCTTTGGAAACAAATGACACCTTATTTACACATGGAGTAATCTTTTTTTACAACCACAACAGTCTCATGATACTATTCACCACAAATTTGTAGCACAAGCATTCTACAGGACACACTTACAAACACTGACAAAGCAAGCATCTTCTATACAAAGCAGAATATAAAACAGATCCAATTTCAACCCCCATAAAAGAAAAGCAGTAACACAAGTATTTAGGGAGTTATAGGGCCATGTTATACACATTGTACTTCGAGTTGCTCAAAATGTAGATTAGTTTTAGTGTTAGCTCGAGTTTGGAGTAGTCACACCTTCAGGCTAAAATCCTTCTCCGACTGTTCCCCACCTGCACAGCTGTGACTTGCCAGGAGAGGGCTGATGAGCAGGGGCCTGACTAGGTGCTAGAGCTGAGCTGACACTACAGGACTGGTGAGCCAGGACACGCTTCTATCGCTACTCTAGGTGCGGGTGCATGAGAGGTGGGTTGGGGGCTGAAACATGAAGCTGGGAGGTGGCGAGTTAATGGAATGGGGATGGAAAGGAAAAAGTAGAGAAGCAAAACAAAGTAAGAAAAAGAAATAAGGGGAAGTAAGTTAAAGAAGGTCTCATGTTTTAATAAACTGAGATTTGGGTTCGGGGTGTGGCAGGTGCTGATCATGCTTCCCAGGGTGGCTGGGAGATAAGAGTAGTGAGGGAAGGCACATTTGGGGAAGCAACTGGCCCTGGCCCAGGAAGGAAACCCCAGTTCATGGAGACCCGATGCAGCCCCCTACCTTGTTCCTCCCTACTCCCCATTGACAGTGCTCCTAGACCTGTCTGTGCCCTGCAAACTGGCTAGCTGGCATGTGCTCTGCAGGCTGTTTGCATAGGTTTACACCCCTGGGGATGAGAAGGTCACATCCCCAGGGGCAGGAGGGGAAGCTGGTTTGGTGCCAGAACTACCCCCTGGCCAGTAGAGTTTAGGGGGTGACAAGTTTGTCCACACAGAAGGGTGGGGGAGGAGGACACTGCTTCCTTGGATGCTGGAGGCCTGCAAATTGGGCTGATCATCTGTGAGGAGTGGCCACACATTAATGGAACACAAGCTAGGTAACATGGATCAGAGATGAACCTATCCCAGAGTGGTGTAACTTTAAGCTGCCAAGTGATAATGTGTGGACACTTCATGGGTTAAGAGCTCCAGCAGCTCCCTAAAATTAATGTGTAACAAGGCCCATAGTCTAGAGCTTACTATAAATGCCAGACTAACCCTACGTTTTAATCTAGTTTGAAATATAGGCACAATGTGAAACTCTAGACAAATGACTCAAACTTCCCATGTATTTAGAAGTGCACTGATACATCGGTCCATATCGTATCGGCACCAATAAAAGGAAAATTGACATTATCGGCAATTGGCTTTTTTTGGCTGATGTGGCCAATAATGACACTGATAAATGCCACATGCATGTGCGCAGCTGCGGCATGAACACGGCTGGGACTGCAGCCCAGCAGCAAGGAGGGCAGCATCCGGCTGGTAAGTCTGTGCGAGGGAAGGGGCATGGGGGAGGAAGGGGCATGCGGGGAGCAGATTGAGGCCCCCAAGGTGAGGGAGGGAGTGGGGCTGAGGCTGGGGCAGGTGTTGCTCATCTGGGACATGGAAGTGTGTGGCAGCAGGCAGCTTGTCTAGAGGGCATGGGGGGGGGCAGGGAGGCTCCTGCCCCTGCGCAGACCCTGGGGGGAGGCATGGGTGGCACAGGCCCCCCAGGTCTGTGCACAGGGCAGGAGCAAGAGCAGGCAGCCTGCTCTGGGCCTGGGCCTGTGCCAGCCTCTTCCCAGAAGGGCGGCTAGACCAGGGCTGCACTAAGGGCAGGTTGGGGTGGGGTGGGGCAGGTGGCAGCACTGGGAGGGGGCTACAGGAACACAACAATGATTTTGGGGGTGCTGTAGCCCTCTTGCCCCCCGTAGTTCCCCATCCCAGTTTGACACTTGCCCCGCCCCACCTGTCCCGAGTGCAGCCTCAGCTCAGTACCCTGCCACAAAGAGGATGGCACATTCCCCAGCCCTGAGTGTGCAGCGGACAGCCTGCCCTCGCTCTGCGCACAGGTCCAGGGGGCATGTGCCCCCATGCCTCCCCCTGGGTGCGCACAGAGGTAGAAGCCATACTCCTCTCCCTTGGATGAGCTGCCTGCAGCTCCATCCCACACCCCACCCTGGCTAGGCAGCAACTGCCTCTGCCCTAGGTCCACTCTCTCCCTCCCTATGGTGGCCTCAGTCTGCACCCCCTCAACATATACACTTTCCTTCCCCCATGCCCTTCCCCCCAACAGACTTACCAGCCAGGTGCTGCTCTCCACACTGCCAGGCTGCATATCAGCAATCAGATCAGTATCGGCCAATATGGCTGGTCAATAATCAGCCAGTGGTATCGCCCCAAAAAAATCTTTATCAGTGCACCCCTATGTGTATTCATTAGCAACTTCTTGATATCAAGTTAATATAAGATTGTGATAACATGTAGAATAATACACCCATATCAATAAATCATGCAATCTTCCCAGCTCCTCCAAAATGAGTAGGATTGGGCTGGTTTGGGTCAGTACTTAGATAACCTACAAGGGCTGATGAGATGCTATGAAAAATGGCATTAGTGACTGGCAACACATGGATATTCTTCCTTCTGAAAAAGAAACAGCTCAGCATGTTGCTGCAGAAACCTGGGCTGCCATCTTTCAGATAATGTGATCCAAATGTTTCTGGTTTAGTCATGAAAATGCCTATGCATCAATCTGTAAGAGTCTGGTTGCTGACCCAAATCCTGAGCAAGTTCCATTACAAATCTGCCTCCCAAAATATGATTCTTCTGTTAATGCTGGATGCTAACTTTTTTCTCTTCCTACACCAAACACCTATGTGGTGATGTAACTATAGCATAGTTAAAAAAAAAAAATACAGTTTGAATGGGCTAGAAAAACCATGGGAAAGTTCATGAGGTTGCTCCACAGTGTGGCTCATATGTGAGAGACAGATTGATCAAACATCCTACTGTATTTTTTACTCTACTAAGGTTTAGTCATGACAGCTTCTCAAAACATTTACTTTTCAGTGAAACTCCAGATACTTTGCTGGGCCCAGCTGATGCTATCTCCCTGACTGCCTGACCTGTCCTGGGCTGCATTAGTTATTTGTGGATACTGACGGAGCACATCCAATTCCAGCCATACTACTTTCATATGCTGACACATTCCCTCTGCACCTCTTGAATAGCACAAAAGAAATACAGCAGGTCAGGGAAACTGTCCCATGCTTTGTAAACCAGCTGCTGTACAATTTCCTCATGAAAGCAGTAATAAAAAAAACAGGTCAGAGAAACTGTCTCTACAATTTATAAACTGCCTATAGCAAGTCTCTTGTGCAACAAGTCATCAAACTAAAAACCCAGCATGAGACCCCCAGAATCTCATAGAAAAAGCACAAGTTATCAGTAGACAACAACAAAATGAGGGACTAATCAGCTTTCACTTACCTACTGTGATGAGGTTTGCAGATAGGAAATGGCAACAGTTTCCATCGACAAGTCGCAGCTCTTCTCCTTGAGCTGGATCCCTTAGCATGGCTTTTGCAGAGGGCAGAGACATTGTAGGCTGTCAGAAACTGCCTATTCAGAATGTCCACTCTGAACCACACGACAAATTATTTCAGATTGGAAGCTGACCATATATCTCCCTAAAAAATTCAGCCCCAATGATAAAACAATCTCTGGAAGTCCAAAATTTGAGATGTTCTTTCTGGTTTCTTCTAAAGCCATATAAAATCTCCTCTTTGGTATGGTAAACCAACTATGCCATAGCCAGAATACTCCTACTGACACCTCCAATTTGTTTTCAGGAATAAATGTTCAGTCACTGATGCTAAAGTAAAATGACCACTGTCTTCAGTCTTGATGTCACAAATGTCTTAGCCTTTGCGTTTCCTGCAGGCATTAAAGTGATGGGACTTAAAATTGAGTGTATCCTCCCAGTGTTTCCTGCATGTTGCGCACCTAGAAAAGACGACATTTTTTAAGGATGGAAATTACACGAGCTAGGGTGTTATAGAGAACAAAACTTACAACAGTGCCATAGTTAATTGTATATGGTGGTCAAATCTCTGCATCTGCTTACACCTATGGGCTAGACTAATCACAGTTATGCAGATATACTGCTAAAGTAATGCCTCCCATGCACAGATGGGAGCCAAAGCAGGCTCCCAATGCCTTGTGACATTTCATGTAAGTAGTATCATTTATAGAGCATCTAAGTGGAAGCAGGGAGAGACTGATTCTGCCAGCTTCAAGTTCTGTAAAGATCAGCTTCCTCTCACTGCCATAGCAGTTTAGCATTACATATACTTGAACAGCAATCATTTTTCAGGAGTAAGAGCTTGCAGTCCCTGATAGGCACAAGATAGCTGTGTACACCATCTGCTGTGACATTTGTTTACTTATCAAGAAACATCACTGTCTCATAGCTTTCACATCCCTTTTCTTCCCTTACCTACTGTCACCAGACTCCATACCTGTGCGTCCCCTCCTTCCCGTCTCTTAACACACTATCCCTTTTCCACAGGCTGCAAGAGACGTGGCTTTTTAAATCCCGCACATCTCTGGGACCTCTTTCTGTGAAAGGGATCCAAGAGCTGGCTCCAAAGCAAAGATGAGAAATGGCAGGACTCTGGGATTCTACTTTAATGCTGCAACAATTCAGTTCCAAAGGAGTTTCCGCCAGCTCATAATTACAAGTTGAGCCATGAAACCTTGTCCCAACATGTCTTGTTGTGAAAGGAGAGATCCGGTCTGAAGTTAACATTAAAACAAAATGCCAATGAGGCATCACTACCAACTTTTCAGAAGATGAGGGACTAGGGCGTTTTGTTTATGGCAAAAGAAATCTGATTAAAATGGCGTCCCTTTTACAGCAAATACCACTTAAAAGGGAGAGGCCTTTTTCCCCCCTTTCTGTCTTGCCACTCTCCCTTCAGGGAAAAAAAAAAGTGTGCCAGTCAGCAAAATAATCCCCAAACAATGAGCTAAATTCACAGGCTTTCAGATATGGGATGCCAGGGCTTAGCAGCATTCATGCAGTGGGAACTTGACACAAATGATGCCATAGCATTTTTTACACCCAGGCGAGATGGGATCTAAGCAGAGGCCAGGCCACCCCTTGACTCTGGAATCACTTCACCCAGGAGCAGAGCTGAAAGAATTTTATTTGGCAACCAACTTACTGGCCAAAAAAGCAGTTTCAGGGGAACTGAAACCCTCCATAAATTCAGGCTGAATTTGACAAACCTTTTTAATCAAAACACGGAGTCCGTTTCAAGCCTGGATGAAATTTCATAAAAGCTGTTTTTAAACAGGATAAAACAAACATTAAAAAAGTTAAAGACTAAACACAACATTTCATTCAACCTGAATGCAAACAGGTTTTTATTTCTTCATTTTGTCAAGAAAACTGAAAAAATTCTGGTTTGGGTCAAGCCCATTTTTCCCCCATATTTTGGTTTGATGAGAAAACTGAAAGATCAGCTCTTCACATAGTTCTGCTTGGGAGTTTCTTCCCAGAAGAGGGAAAGGAGAGATCAAGGCCAAGCTCCTGGTATAATTAGACTAGTGTAATTGAGTATAATTATTATATACTCTTTGTATTCATTGCAACCAAATCCTTCTCTCCTTCAACTACAGGGCACATCTTATCTATACACAAACTGCCTCAGCTACAGACATCATCCTATAGATCAGGGGTGAGCAATGTTTTGCACAGAGTGCCAAAAAACATCCACAGCCTCAACTTGTAAGATGTTGGTGTGCTAGGGATGGATGGCAGGAGAGCTGTGAAGGGCCTGATCCTCGTTGTGGCAACGCAGCCCCAGCCCCTTCCTCACCATCTGCCCAAAGGTACACATGCCAAGCAAAATGCCTTTGTCTGCTACACTTTGGCCTGTGTGCCCGGGGTTGCCTATGCCTGCTATAGATGCACTGATGCCCCCTCCAACCTCTTCTATGATGCTAAGAGAAAGGATAACTACATCAGACAGACTCTTCTTTCTTCACACATGCAAGTTTGTAGCTATTATTTTTCGTGCACTTACAACAAGGCTGTGTAATATTAAGCCAGGCAAGGAACAGCCAGTGAGGGTAGTAGCCAAAAGATCCCTTGGGAGAGCAGGGATGGCTATGAAAACAGTAGCCCACTCAGCTGGGCAGCAAGACAGTTGTATATCTGTAAGCTCTACAGGATAACTTTCTGATTTGTGTGCGCTGTGTGGTAGGGTCCATCCCTGACTACAGACTGTAGGCACAACCACAGTACCAAAACTACTGAAAGGACTGCTGATGTCATTCTCCACAAGACGCACTGAGCCCCAGAGCCATCTGTAACCAGCTCCCTTGATGGCCATTCTACTAGCCAAATGAAAGGGTTTTAGAAAATGAACCCCCTCCTGTGCTTCCTTATACCCAGGTCAAGTCCCTCCTGGTCAAGGCCAAGCAAAATGTATCAAGCAGCATGGAGAACTTACCCCAGCACTCACTGGCTGTGGCTGTTTGGAAGCTAGACTCAAAGTTACTCATCTCCACTGTTCAGGGCTTCTCTAAAGGGGGTTTAGCGCACCAGGATTCACTAGCACTAACCTCACCTAACAGATGCCCAGACTTTCCTTCACGCACACTGAGCATCCATCTCTCTTTTTAACGTATTATTGCTCAATTTTGATCTTTGGTTTCCTTTCCTTGTATTCAAGGATAGGAACTCTCTGCAAGCTTCTACTTGTACCCTAACAAATATCCCTAGCTACATCTTTTAGCAAACATAAGAACAGAAAAGACTAAACATAAAGCCTGCCTCCCTCCCCCACTCCCTGCCTGACCAGCCCTCTGTAACGGCATTTCTGGAGCGCTCCAGAATCCCAAGCAGCTGATGAAGAGGTGGTCAAAGAAAGAACAACATTGTCTCTGCCTCTCAGTGTGGGAGGTACAGGAAAAAGCAGTGCCTAACCCCTGTACATGCCTGTTTCAGCAACACAGATCCCAGAAGAGCAAGGACAATGTGAATCCCCTTTCGATTCAAACTACCATACATCAAAATATACATCCCCATGTGACAAATGCACCAATTTCCTTCCTGTTTAACAGGTTCCTTGTGATCTTTCCCTTATGTCTGTATCCACCTGCTGTCTTGTCTTATACTCAGATTGTAAGCTGGAGCAAGAGCAGTCTTTTGTTATCTGTTTGTATGGCTCCTAGCACCAAGGGCACTGGTGGCTTCCATGTGCTACTGGAACAGAAATAAGAAGAGAATAACCTCAACAATGGAGTTATGCTAGCTATCACACACAAAGGGAAACAGGGCTGTGGTAGCATTACATAGAGCAGCCAAAAAAGCCATAAACTGCAACTGCACACGCTAATATCAGACAACTGGAGATGTCAATGGCTAGAAATGCAGCTGTTATAACTCAGCATACAAAAATTAGGCAAGCGACCATGTATCTTTAAAAAAAAAAAAAGCCAGAATCCATGTATGAAGCTGTCACTCTATCTTCACTTTAGATCTAGGAATTATATTACATATGCTACTTATCACACTGATTAATGGCCCTATCCATATCTTGCTCTTGCTGAAATCAGCGGGCATTCTTTACCCATCATTGGGCATATAAAGCCTTTGTAAGGAGAATAAAGCTTCCAATATCTATTCTTAATGGCATCACCTTATTCAGCAATAATGTCATCATCAAAATATGTGAATGCTGTACAGTAAAACAGATGCCCTTAGGTAATGTTAGCAGTATTTACTCTAGGCTAAACTCTTACTTCCTTACGTTTATTTGCACTTAGTCCTTAGTTGGGCACACTTCCATGAAGCCTGTGAGTTTTGGGATGTAACCCTGGATCAGGATCTCTCTCCGTGCTGCTCTTGCTTCATGCATTCTTATGTTTTGGAAAGTGACACCAACTTGTTCCTTCTGTAGTTTCTCTCCCCACTTCAGCGGGCATCTTCAGAGATCTGCTGAGCCATGCACAGAGCATTGTGCAGGCAAGTAACCAAAAACAGTAGATAAAACATAGGAAGAGGAGAAACTGCTGGCCCATGTAAGAAAAATGCCTGTTTTTCCTTCAGAGGAGGTGGATCTGGATCTGCTCTAACAGAGCTTTGTGACTCCTTGCGCTCTAGTGGAGCTGCTCATGATTTACATTGGTGTGAGTGAGGAGAGAGAGGCATTGGAAGTTTCTTTGATCCTTAGGGGAGAATGAAAAGTGTGGGTCAAAAGGTGCCTGCAGAGTTCAGCCAAGATGTTTTTGCTCCTTGTCTTTTACAACATGGAAGTATCAGTTAAAAACGCCATAAGAGCATTTAATTGCCTTTCTAGAAGAGTGCTGGCATGCTGCTCTGCACACACGTAACACAACAAGGACCTGTGCTAAAAAAGGGGCACTGTCTCAGAGCACATGAGTTAATCTGACTGCTTCAGCATTTATGTAACTTCTCCTCCTAGCCCACTAAGCATGACACTTTACACCAACCAAGTGCAAAATGCCACTGCTGTGGTATATCTACACCGCAGGTTTATCCTCAGATTCATCCAGGAAGCCACAACTCCTGGGAGCGCAGGAAACGCTTAAAAACGAGTCAAAATCTGTCTACTCACCCTTCACACAGTTGACCTGGGTGGCAACTGCTTTGCCAAACACTCCTGTTTGCTTTAGAACTGAAGAGGCCTTCTGTTGCATTTTCTTTCCAGGAAGTTCAATCACTGTGGGTGACTGCATACAAAGCAGCCTTCCCAACAGAGCCAGGCAAGAGCCAGTGGCCAGATCCTCAGCTGGTGTAAACTGGCATATCTCCAATTTTAAAAAAGGAGCTATAGGATTCTACAGCAAATGAGGATGTGGCTGGACAGATGTGTAGTGCAAGGGACTCATCAGCCCATACCACTCAACCACCACCAGACTGATCCCAGGTTCTTGACATGGGCTCCAGGTCCTCAAGCTTGCTGGAGTTG